GAATCAAACCCAGGTCGCTGGCTTCATAACGCGGTGGAAGAACCACCCTGCCACAAAGCGGGAGCCTGCTGTGATCTATGGTACCAAAAAAAATGTTGTTGAAGGGGAGCACGCGCAGAGCACAGAAGTACAGTCTAACAGTTGATGTTACTGCACTGCCCTCTGCTGTCCACCACATCGCCACTTGACAGGCGGTGGATCACCCATCCAAGCACGCTGGCCAGGCTCAGGCCTCCACAAAAATATATGGTGGCTAGGAGATGCTAACTACCTCGCCCGGTCTACAGGAGGTCGTGGGATCGATCCCCACCCTGATGCCTGCTGTATATTAGAAGTTTAGGTATTTGGAGTTTGGGTATTCTCGCGCGGATTTGGGGGGTCCACGGGGCCTGCTCGGCCGCATGGAACCGCCGTGGAAACTTATGGGCAAAAAATGTCCCATGTTTCAACGGCGAGTCTGGCCGATATTGGTATCAACGATACCGGATACGCGGGCTCGTTCCTTACGACCGTCATCGTTGATGCGAGCGGTCTAAAACCGGTGCTGTGGCTCGCTAGGAGGTTTGCTGGCAGATCGCCCGTGCTGGGGCAAGGTGCGGGCGTTTGTTGTTGTCGTGTTGGGAGTGGGATTTGTGAGACGGTAACGCGAGTTTGGCTTCAGTGGCCGCTGTTTGGAACGCGATTGCAATCGGTAATTGCTGTTGTTGGGAGCCGTATTCGTAGTTTCGTGCCATATCTACGACGTGGTTGTAACGCGGTTAAATTTGCCGTGAAGTTGCACGAACGATAAACAAAAGCGACACAATCACAACCATTTACGTAGTGCCGCTCTTCCCCCCCCCCCCGCCTCAACAATCTAGGCCAAAGCGCAGCTGCGACGCGCATTATTTTGCCAATTAATGGGCCCGCGTGCCATTTCCTCCCAGCCATCATAGTCCATTGGCCGCGATCGGCCAGAATTGACTTCCCCCCTCCCCCGGCAGGAGGTGGTAGCGGCCCTCGCCCCGGGCCAGGAACTCATCCGCTCGCCACCGCCTCGTCCGTCACGTTGGGATGGCAGGGCCGCAACCTCGCGCTCCAGCTGCAGCCACCCCTCCCCGGCCACCCCAGGCCACAACCGCCGCCTTATTAAGACGACCGAGCGCGCAGGCGGTACAACTGCACCGGGGGCCCATGGGCCGAAGGGGCCCATGGGCCGGAGGGGCCCATGGGCCGGAGGGGCCCATGGGCCGGAGGGGCCCATGGGCCGGAGGGGCCCATGGGCCGGAGGGGCCCAGGCACCGCGCTACAAAGAGTGTTGGGGGTGGGGGGGGGGTAACTTGGACAGGGCGGGAGGCTGGGGGGGGGTCCGTTTCATTCCTTAGCCGTGGGTCCATGATGCCAACCACGCTACGCACGCCACCGCCCCTTACACCTGCTGCACCTGTAGGCCAGCGTGAGTTGCAACTCGGTTGCAGCAGCAAGTGTCATCCCCGTAACTTGAGGTACCTCGCCCGTCCATCTCCTCCCGGGCTCCGTCTGTCTCCATGCCGCACGTCCCATCGCACTGCCCTCCCCTCCAACCTCATCCCGACTCGCACCCCACCACCACCCACCTCGCCATGACTCGGCGAGGCATTCCGTTGGGATCTGGCAAATGAAAGCGGTGCTTGGCGCGGGTTCAAGGTTCGCGTGGTGCCTCGGTGCGTGCGGGTCGGGAGGAAGTGAGACTTTGGAGAAGAGGAGCGGTTTGACGGAGGAGCGAAATGTCCCCCGTCGCGGCTCGTTGCCGAACGAACCCCGTGACCCCGCTCCGGTGGGTCACCGCGTCCAAGGCCCAGGACACGGTGACTCCGGCGTCTCCGCTCTCTCGCTCGCTCGCTCGCTCTGCCAGTCGCTGATTCATGGGACAGGCATCCACACGGGCAGATGGACAGATAAGCAAAAAGATGGACAGAGACAGATGTACAGACACACAGACGTAAAGATAGACGCGTAATCAGACGCACACACAGGCACACGGACACACGCATACATAGAAATGTATACTGACTTAGACATTTTGTGGATCTGAAGCTCAATTAAACTATTTTCATTTCACCAGGTGAGGTCCACTGAGCTCTCCTTTGGCCACAAATGATAGCTCAACTTAGTGGCTTACCATCATGTGCAAATTTATAGAAGCCAAATACTCAAAACCTATGTTTGTAGATGTGGAGGGGGGAGAAACGGAGGACGCGGAGAAAAATCCACGTGACCACAGCGAGAGAGACACTGCAAGCTCCAAATATACAGCAGGCGTCAGGGTCGGGAGTGAACCCACGACCTCATGTATACCAGGCGAGGTAGTTAACATCTCGCCATCGCGAATCAGTAATAGGTATTCATTGTTTACCCTGCGAGGCCTCGCTGAGAGTCTCAAGGCTCCTCCTCAGGTGGCCGCTGCTCGGGAGTGTTTTGGCTCATCCCTCACGGGGCGTTTCCTTGTTCCAGGACGTGCACCGAGGCACCGCGCGAGACGCGAGACGGGAGAGCGCTCGCCGAGACCCAACTCGGGAACGACTCCGCGCCAAGCGTGCTCGCCTGCGCGCGAGTGTTGTGCGTGGAGCGCGCGTGTTTGTTGTGTGTTTACGAGCAAGACACACGTTGTTCCTTTCCAACGAGTCGCGGAAAGCGCGCACACGCGTTGCTCCCGTCGCACGTGAGCTCCGTAAGTGCTTCCTGTTTGTGTTCCCGCTCTCGAATTTGTTGCACGGACACAATCTGATATCCGCGCACTCGTAGCGGCGACGCCATTAAATGCCTCGCGTCTCACGGTGGCGGTCAGCACCGCCCGACCGGGGGTTCGATCTGAACACGGAGTGTCGGGATGCGGCGACTTCCTCTGAACCCGGTGACACGACCGCCGCCGTGAGTCCCGCGCCGTGGCTGCGTCGCTTCGTACTTCTTACCCCTTAGCCGGTGCTGCATTGTTTGTTCACCATCGTTCAGCACATCGGGGAGCTGGTGGGGTGTTGACTCATCAGGGTGGCAATTGCACCCCACCCCCCGCCTTAACATCACGAAAATAGGTATGTTTTTGATATTTCCAGATAAACCGCGCTGAATGGATAGTTACATATTGAGGGAGTGTCCTGTTTACACAGCTTGGCATGTTCCGGTACCGACTCGGCGCTCTGAGCCCACCCGACCACCCGATTGATTTGAACATTCGTGTTTGAAAACTCGCTTCTTTCGAAAAAGAGAAATCACCGAAACCTCACCCACTTACGGGCCCCGATCTCATGCACCCACTCACTCACCCACTCACCCACTCACTCACCCACTCCACTGCTCACCCACTCACCCACCCACTCACTCACCCACTCCACTGCTCACCCACTCACTCACCCACTCCACTGCTCACCCACTCACCCACTCACTCACTCACCCACTCCACTGCTCACCCACTCACCCACTCACCCACCCACTCCACTACTCACCCACTCACCCACCCACTCACTCACCCACTCACCCACGCACCCACTCACTCACCCACTCACTCACCCACTCACTCACCCACTCCACTACTCACCCACTCACCCACCCACTCACTCACCCACTTACCCACTCACCCACGCACCCACTCACCCACGTACCCACTCCACTGCTCACCCACGCACCCACTCCACTGCTCACCCAAGCACCCACTCACTCATCCACTCACTCACCCACTCCACTGCTCACCCACTCACCCACCCACTCACTCACCCACTCCACTGCTCACCCACTCACCCACTCCACTGCTCACCCACGCACCCACTCCACTGCTCACCCACTCACCTACTCACCCACACACCCACGCACCCACTCCACTGCTCACCCACTCACCTACTCACCCGCACACCCACGCACCCACTCCACTGCTCACCCACTCACCTACTCACCCACTCCACTGCTCACCCACACACGCCCCGTGTCTCCTACTGCTCGCCCACCCACCGGCTCGCTGCCCACGCTGTAATGTGCCATGTTAGTTTTGGCTTACTCGCACACAACACACGCTGCAGCCGTCAGAGATGGAGAACATTCTACACGAACCAGTAGTGTGCGCCACATAATACCAGTGGCGAATATGTGAACCTGTCCTGGGTTTCCCCAAAGTCGACTGAGCCTCAAATGACTACCTTGCGCAGTGAGCAAACATCAGCACTGGGCAGGCAAATGTGGCCTGGCGTGGGGTTGGCCACCTACCCCCTCGTGTGCCGTGGTGGTCTTCATAGGCGCTCGCGAACAGCACTTGCCACAATTGTCTGCTGAGACAATACGAGGGATCTTTATTATATTTGTATCAGAGTTTGTACATACACACACGTGTCATCATGGGGTTGCTGTGTACGTATTAACCGACACCTGTACTTCCTTGCACACGCGACGTCCCATCTCACACGAGACGTCCCATCTCACACGAGACGTCCCATCTCACACGAGAAGTCCCATCTCACACGAGACGTCTCACCTGACACGAGACGTCCCATCTCACACGAGACGTCCCATCTCACACGAGACGTCCCATCTCACACGAGACGTCCCATCTCACACGAGACGTCCCACCTGACACGAGAAGTCCCACCTCACACGAGACGTCCCATCTCACACGAGACGTCCCATCTCACACGAGACGTCCCATCTCACACGAGACGTCCCACCTGACACGAGACGTCCCATCTCACACGAGACGTCCCATCTCACACGAGACGTCCCATCTCACACGAGACGTCCCATCTCACACGAGACGTCCCATCTCACACGAGACGTCCCACCTGACACGAGAAGTCCCACCTCACACGAGACGTCCCATCTCACACGAGACGTCCCATCTCACACGAGACGTCCCATCTCACACGAGACGTCCCATCTCACACGAGACGTCCCACCTGACACGAGAAGTCCCATCTCACTCGACCCGCGTGCTCTGCTGTACCTGCGCTGCTCACTGACCGCTGCTGCTGTTGCTGCTGCTGTTGTTGTTGTTGTTGCAGATAAACCCATAACGGAGCTGCCTCATACCCCTCCCAGCGTCGTGGAAGGTGAGGTGCACTCACCCACACTCACCCACACTCACCCACACTCACCCACACTCACTCACAGTCACTCACCCACACTCACCCACACTCACCCACACTCACCCACACTCACTCACAGTCACTCACCCACACTCACTCACACTCACTCACAGTCACTCACCCACACTCACTCACACTCACCTACACTCACCTACACTCACTCACAGTCACTCACCCACACTCACTCACACTCACCCACACTCACCCACACTCACAGTCACTCACCCACACTCACCCACACTCACCCACACTCACTCACAGTCACTCACCCACACTCACCCACACTCACCCACACTCACTCACAGTCACTCACCCACACTCACTCACACTCACCCACACTCACTCACCCACACTCACCCACACTCACCCACACTCACCCACAGTCACTCACCCACACTCACCCACACTCACCCACACTCACTCACAGTCACTCACCCACACTCACTCACACTCACTCACAGTCACTCACCCACACTCACTCACACTCACCTACACTCACCTACACTCACTCACAGTCACTCACCCACACTCACTCACACTCACCCACACTCACCCACACTCACAGTCACTCACCCACACTCACCCACACTCACCCACACTCACTCACAGTCACTCACCCACACTCACCCACACTCACCCACACTCACTCACAGTCACTCACCCACACTCACTCACACTCACCCACACTCACTCACCCACACTCACCCACACTCACCCACACTCACTCACACTCACTCACACTCACCCACACTCACTCACACTCACCCACACTCACTCACACTCAGCCACACTCACTCACTCACACTCACCCACATTCACTCACACTCACTCACACTCACTCACACTCAGCCACACTCACCCACACGCACTCACACTCACCCAAACTCACCCACACTCACTCACACTCAGGCACACTCACTCACACTCACCCACACTCACCCACCACACTTACTTACACTCACTCACACTCACCCACACTCACTCACACTCACCCAAACTCACCCACACTCACTCACGCTCACTCACACTCACCAACACTCACCCACACTCACTCACACTCACCCACACTCACACTCACTCACACTCACCCACACTCACACTCACTCACACTCAGCCACACTCACACTCACTCACACTCAGCCACACTCACTCACACTCAGCCACACTCACTCACACTCACTCACACTCACTCACACTCAGCCACACTCACCCACCACACTTACACTCACCTGGCGCGGCCGTCACACGGGCACGCGCGCTCACACAGAGAGCCACCCACTCAACAACCAACCCAACAACCAACGCATTCACTCACCCAATCGATTATTAAATCACTCAGCCACTCATTCATCAACCCACTCACCAACCAACTCACTCACTCACCTAGGGCTAGTGACTGGTTGGACGTGGTTATAAGAGTTAGGGGTACGGCTACACTCAACGCACCGCTCGAATGTTTTGCCAGTTGCTTTTCGAATTCCGTACGAAATTGAGAGTCGAGTTGGCAATGTGTGGGCCGGCGCTGGGGTCTCCGTGTTCACCTCTCGGGATTAGCTTCCTGTTATTTTGCCCGCGGGGAGAGGCCCCCGGGGGCTGATCGCTCGCGTAATCGAGCATCCCTAATATCATTGCCACACGTGTGTGGCGGGGGGGGTTTGAAAAAGTTCAGTTGGGGGGGGGGGGCAGAGGTGGGGGGACGACAGCGGACAACAGAGGAAATGTGTTTTGGATTTTTTCGCGAAAAATCACCCCTGGTTCGAGACGATCTGTACCCAGATCGTGACTCAGAGTCCGCACCACTCACTCAATCACGGATTGCTCATCCAATTCCCCCGTTGAACCCCCCCCCCCTCACTCCACCACTGACCCTCCACCCTACCGTGCCCCGCCAACCCTATCCTGCAGCTCACACAAACCGTGGGTAGCAGTCTGTTCCACCCCGGAGTCTTGAGCCAGCCGAAGGCGGGAGCACGTTTGCTCGCTCTCTCCTTTACTGCGGTTTTGTTAAAAATAATTTTAATTGCTGCTGCTGCTTGAGCAAACCTAGAGGAAGATCACCGTGGTTTTCAGAAACAAGAGCACCAGGGTTTAGTTTCTGTTGCCCGAGAGGCAGACATCCGTATGGTGCAGGAAGGCAGCAGCATCAGCCTTCCCCTGAACCCCGTCTCGAACCCCAGCTACAGTTCTAAACTCAGTCCTAATCCTAAACTCAACTCTACACCTAACCTCAACTCTAACCCTACCCAACCCCAGCTCTAAGCCTAACCCCAACTCTATCCCTCACCTTAACCTCAACTCTAATCCTAACCCCAGCTCTATCCCTAACCCCTCCCCTTAACCCTAACCCCAGCTCGAACTCTAAATCTCAACTCTAACCTGAACCCCCCCCCCCCGTGCGAGTTCCTTATCTTATCCACAGCCCCTTATCTCAACCAGACCCTCACCCCCACCGCACCACCACTGCTAGACGCTTCGCAATGTTTTCCGTCGTAAATCCCATTCTGTGGGGGTTTTTATTTTGCCGAGGGGGGGTTGGGGAGCGGAGTGTGTGGAGTTGTGGAGGGGGATGGGCATGGTCACGTGATCTTAATCCCCTCTCCTATGTCTCTGGCTCAGGAACAGAGGGCAGTGCTGCCCTGGGGGTTGCAGGGAGGGGGGCGGGATGCGGGGGGGGGGCGCTGGGTAGAGGAATGTTTTGGTTCTTGCAGGATGGCTTCTTTTCATCTTTGCTCATCTTCGGTATTTTTCAGAAATTTGTTTTCACGCGTGCACGTTTTGTTGTTGTAAAGCGTAGCTGCGAGCGGCTGCACCTGGCTCGCGAGCGCAGGGGTTGCGAGTTCGGCTCCAGCTCGCGGGCCGGACGATGGAATTGCACGCTAAAGTTGTCCGCCATTCGCCACCAGAGCCTTTGCCGAGTCTCCCGAGACTCTTTCAAGAGAGTCACCCCCCCCCCCTCACATTGGCCGGCGGGGCCTGGGCACGACGCACGAGGATTGATACTCGTGCGCATCGTCACTGAGGGTCGGTTAAAGGAGTGCCACCTCATAGGCACCAAGTGCACAGCTGTTGTTCGTCATCTCGACCTTACCATAGGAATGTGGAATTTCCACCGCTGGCTCAGGGCCAACAACCGAGCGATTTGTTTGAAGGGCGCGATCACCGAGGATGGCGTTCGGGCTCCACATTCCCCGTGCCTCGTTGCGTAAAGCCAAACATTTCCACTGAGCCGACCTAAGGGAGGCTCGGACACTAATTGACTCTGACGTGGCGTGGCCAGGAATTGAGGATTGCTGGGACCCCGGCGCATCCGGCCAGAATAGACCGATCGGGGCGAGCGCTGTTGGGGAGCGCCTATTAAGGCCGACGCGGCACGCGTCGGCCTTAATAGGCGGAGGCGTTGTGGCCGGAGCGCACGCCCCGGCCGATGTTCGCATGCCGAATAGAGTAGTCACTTAAAGCCGAGTCGACGTAGGGGGGAGAGACGAAGATAGGTTGAGAGAGCGCTCGCTGGCAGTGTCGTCCGCGGTCAGAGTGCGCTGTGAGTCAGAGGGCGGAGGGGGGGTTGGTCGTTGCGGTCTGGCTCGTACCACCTCCCCGCCCCCACGCCCCCCTGCCTCTGAGGTAGCGGGCGCATGTGGGCGCGATGGCACCGCAGGTGTGTGCGCCATGCGACTCGCATTAGAGAAACACTTTGTTCCCCGTGGCTGCACTTCAAACGAGGCCCCTTTCATTTGCCTTCCACGCCGAGACCTGGCGACCAGCCCTCTCCGTGCGTCTGTGCCTGGCGCCCCTGTGCATGTTGGGGAGCGGTGCCCCGGTGGTTAGCACACCGCACTACGAGCCCGTGAGTTGGGTTCGATTACCGCTCACGGCCAACACCAGTGGCGATTATCTGAACCGGTCCTGGGCGTCTCTTAGGTCGACTCAGCCTCAAATGAGTACCAAGTGCGGTGTGTAAACATTGCCACTGGGGAGACAAAGGCGGTCGGGCGTGGTGTTGGCCACCCACCTCTTCGTGTGCCATGCCGACCTCCGTAGGTGCTCGCTATCAGCACTTGCCCCATCAATCTGTTTCAGGCTATATGGGCGATCTTTGTTTTTGTGTCTGTGTTTGTTTAAACTCAGCTGCTGAGCACAGGGCCAAAATCTCCCTAAGACGTAAAGCGGCCAGCAACAAACATCACCGTTAAAATTGCAATAGTTATACGAGCCTAGGAAAAGGAACAATGTGTGTATCGATGCGCGTGTCTTTGTATGTAACTGTGCATTTGTATGTATGTTGCACTTCTTTCACACCGTCCACAGCCAACCGTGCTAATCGGAGATGTACGTCCCGTTGAAATTGCCTGCACCTCCGCTGTAGGAGATGGACAGAGATTACGGCATTCCTAAAGTACCGCCATGGTCTGAAACCACAAGCTTCTCCGTGTGCTGCCTGGCATGGCGATGTTGGATAATCCGTGCCAGGACCTTTCTGCCCTTACGCTGAGGAGGGATATTTCCCAGTCGTTGTTACATTCACGTTGTGGTACAAACAGGTACGATAATGTCACGCAAGGCAGCCTGCACACTGTCGCTTCCCTTATCTACTGACTTGTTCTGGGGGTCATCTCTGCCTCGTGATTTACCATCTCTCATGCTCCGGATCACTCTTCACACTTCCTCGGCAGAGGGGACATCGGCCTCCACCGCAATTAAAACTAAACGGGGCAAGCATCACCGGACAGACTAATGCCTCGGTCGTTTTACGAAAATTCTCTGTAGTTCTCATCCAGTTAAACAGAATAAACTTGACCTCACAGAGGTTCAGTAACTTCCCTCAACCTATGAGGCTCCGCAACTGTCTCAGGATCGCGCTCCCCATTGCCCCCGGTTGTTGTTTGGACCGAGGGTTTCCTCCTCCACCGGGACCTCACAAAATTGCTCCGCAAATCTACAAACTTGTGGGTGGACGTCGGATATCG